AGGTTTATCCGGACATTCAAATGAGAAGAACAAAACTGAATGACAAACGTTTCAACTCAATACATCCTCAGGAATGCAAACATACAAGGGAATAGCAACACAATTGCATGGGTCACACCGTCGTAGTCACCTACAGAGTCTTTCATTCTTCCTACAATCCCTATCACTAGGTGAGTTGCATGCACGATATGCATGTTCCCCTCATGGACATTCAAGTTCCTCGTGGTACTTCCAATATAGATATGAGGACACCAGTGCAAGACGAGAGCATACACTAAGGGGCCATTGCAACTGATTAACCCCAAATCGCTTCCCACCAACGTGCTAGAGATGAAGAAATCAAGCTAGAATTTCATTTGAAATAATGAGAGAGATGATAACTAGGTAGAAGAGTGAGTTGACAGCCTTACAACAAAAAATATTGTAAGAGATAGACCGGATTTTTTGACATTGCCTTGCCAAATATTGAAGTCGAGACACATCCGGTAACGACACTAAGACAACCAGTAATCATGTCCATCAACCTCATGATTTATAACTTATATGTTGTCAGATACTTCGATCAAATCATTCTTTGATTTACCTTTCTTGTCCTGTCTAAAAACTCCTACCACTCACTGATTGACTTTCTCTTTCTTAGTAACGTACACAGTAGAATATGCAATTCCTTTCTTCGTACAGATCTCAATAATGTCTTCCTTTTTCATAGGCCTCGATATTTTTCAACATTAAATTGGCTAATGTTTTTCGATCATTAACTTGTGTGGTTTCAAGTTCTCCTCTTGGCATAACATCGTCTTTTTCGTTCATATGCTAGTCTTCTTGGTCGAAGGTTCTCCCACCGCGTTAAACTTAAAGCGCAAATTTATAATTGTTAGGCTATGCGCGTTAAACTTAAAGCGCAAACCATGTCACAACCTTTTTAAGCCTATCCACCTTCTGTTCAGCCACCCCCTACCCATTAAGTTTCTTAGATCGCATCTCTTTCACTAAATCAACCTCCTCCAGGTGTCGTTGCACTAGTCCTCGATACTCTTCTTCCGTTTACTTCGAGGGTGATAGGCGTGGTGCGACCCAAGGTCTAACCCTGGCTTGGATCGTGGGAGAGGTAGCTACAACCACACTTCCCAATTTGTTACCAGGTCGAAAAGCCTTCTGCCTCTAGTAATCGGCTCCTACGACTGCCTCGTCCTTAAAACGTCTTTCCTCCAAGACCTTGTTCTCGAGTGTGGTCATCCTCCGCTCCGAGGATGCAACTAAGCCGAGAAGATGAAACTTCATTTCTTCCCACTCACGCAAAGTTTCTCCACGACATCGAAGTTAGTAAGCACATTCTCTGCAACCTTTGATGTTGATGCTTTATTTAGACGAAGTTCCTCAACCTCAACCATCAATTTCTCCATTTTTTTTTGCTCCTTACTCTGCTTTCCCATCAAAACTTCATAGACTCTATTCAACTTCCTGTTCATTGCTTCTACCAACCGTGTTTGAAAATCCTCATGCTCCTTTTTCTGTTTCGCTCGTCTTTGCTCCCCCTCTTGATCACGTTTCACATTTTCCTTTACTTCCTTCAAGTTCTTGACCCTATCCCGCTCCTCCTCTGTGTCGTGTCTAACCTTTATCTTGCCACAATGTTTTCGAGGTACTGGAGCCGTCTGTTGGTATTCCCCCAACCACCTCCCTTCGAGTTATTAGCCACAAAGAGACTAAGAAGCGGAGCTTGGTCCAAAACTATTGCAAAACTCCCATTATATAGCGCATGCAGGTTCCTACGACAAAAATCATGTTCCTCATAGACAAAGCAGGTCCGAATAATGGTTGATGAACCATTGTTAGCTATACCTACCCGAAAGGTCGACAACACAAAAGTAGAAAGGAAGGAAAAAGGGCGAAGGAAACACACAACGAAAGCTATCTAGTGAACATTGTCCAATGTGGATGTACGAAGCCACTTAATCATAATCTAACCTCTACGTTGGTTACCTCGGAAAATGAAGTTTGATTCTGCTAAAGCAGATATTCCATAAAAAGACTTTGACAAAGAGAGACGAAGAAAATAAAATTGAAAGAAACGAAAAAAGAAGAAGAAAAAAAAAAAAAAAAAAAAAAAAAAAAAAAAAAAAAAAAAAAAAAAAAAAAAAAAAAAAAAAAAAAAAAAAAAAAGTGACAAAAGAGTGGATTAAAATAGTCTCAAACACGACTCCTGCTGCAATACAACATCATGAAAATACATCAATGGACATAAATAGAAGCCCAAGCGGTGTGCTGTACCAGTTTCGGCTGGTTGCCAACTTGCCACCAACAACTCCTCAAGGGCAAAGGTCAATGAGGACAGGACAGTGTAGAACTTTTTTTTTTTTTAATAATAATAACCGAACCATACGGTTCTGGCACCTTTTCCATTATGGGGAGCATCAGTCCGGTTTCTATTCCCCTGGCAAGTTAGAAAGGAATACAGAGAGTCCTCAGACATGCTCCTCCCCCTTAAGGTGCGGAGGCTGGAAGGACGACATTGATTACTTCCCAAAGGAAGGATGTACCGCCCCTCACCCCTGCCTTAGCTAGCCTGCGCTGCCCCTGCTTTTGTATGCTGGCCTGATTGCCCTATCTTCTGGTATATGTAACTTGCCTTTTTTGGACCATACCTGCCTGTTTCTCTCAGCGCCTCGTCTGTCAGATTTTCTTTACTTTGTTGGAACTGTTGGTTTGACACCTCTCATTGAAGTTGCTTAAACTCTAGGCCCTGCCTGACTTCATTGCTAGATATTCTTCTAGTGCCCTCACTCCTAGTTAAATTTCCCTCTCCATTTCGGCTGTTTACTATTATCACTGCTAAACTCTTAAACCGTAGCATTTCTAGATCTGAATATATGCTACAAGCCTAAACCCTGAAGATTTTTTCTTGGCCTTGTTACTAACAACGGTCGACAATGTTTGGACTGTGGTCTAGACCAACACTCTCAGGTGGCTTTACTAACTCCCATTACCCTGTCTGTGCCCTTTCTTCTGTTGTCCAGAGGTCCTTGAGGATGCCTTGTTTTAGTGTTTTCACTTGATTAACGTACTAGTCTGTGTTCTAGAGGAGGGCTCGGTTCTTTTATTGGTCTTCGCTAAGAGGATCTCATGTGGATGTTAAAGGATTCGGGAACGCCAACGAGTGAGTGAGATTCTGCTTGTGGTGCACTTGTGTTTCCTTCCCATAATGTGAAGACGAGGCTATGCCCTTTGATCCTTGCAACTTTTCCTTTTGCAAGGTAGTCGATCTCGAAATTGTATTTTTGTTCCTGTGCTGTGATCTCATCCTTTCTCATTTTCCTCCTCACTTTGCGCCGCAGTACCCATAATTTTGTTTCACTTGCTGTTGGAATAGACCTCATGCTTCTTGGTTGTGCATTGGTTGTTTATCTATTGTCTCCTGACATCTCTTCCTCCAAATGATGCAAAGGGAAGCCTTCCTAAGGATTTGAAAGAGATTGTTCTCCAAGTTCGACCAATCTTTTAGAATCTTAAAGCTTAGAAATATGAGTACGGGATTGTTAGTGAATTCAACAGTGGCTGTTTTTTTCCAAATATTCTCAATTCTTTACCATAGGGATGATAGGGGTAGTATTATGGGGCATCTAAGGAAACAATGATAAAAATCCTCTATCTCGCCTTCAATACATGTGAAGCACAATTATTTTAGTGGGTTTCTTACCTCTTTTCTTGTCCTCACGTTTAACCATTGGTTTAGCGGGACAACGAGGTAGAGAATAAGCCATCACAAACTTTTGAATTTCGGTGAGTGAATTTAGGCTATTTTGTTCCATGGTATTTGATTAAAATTTTATGGGTCCGCTTGTAGGTACTTCCACCATCTCTCAGTTATCACTAGGTTAGTGCATATTGATCTTCTCCTTGCTTGTATCACAGACTTGTGGTGTACAGTAGGATATTAAATTTCAAGTTAATTCCAATGTTTCTCTGTTTCTGATTCCATGCCCAATCTGTTGGGCCTACCTCTAAGGGCCTCGTTTGACACCACTTGAAAATACTTCAGTTTCAGGGGCACCCTAACTCACGGTAGGTGATTAATTTCCCCTAACTTATTTTCTCGTTCCACAACCCCTTGACAAAACCTTTGAGATGGCCGTCCTTGAAACTGAAGTGTTGATGGCATTGCACCAGGAACAGTGGTGATTGGTGAAAAAAAAAAAAAAAAAAAAAAGGTTCAAATATTACCCGTTTCGTAGGGTCCAACCCTTGGGTTTCAAGTGACCTCCCGAGGCTCCCTTAAGATTTCCGTTTTTGGCTGGACCGCACTTGAGTTTCAAGGGCCTTGAGATGCAAAATGTGAAAACATTCCAAATATCCAAATCGATGTAATTAGGGAGGGGTGGAACGATGCTTCCTTGAAAATCCTTTTTAAGAGTTGTCGAACGAGACCCTAAATTCTCTAGAGCTGTTTGAGGATTATACACGGTTAGTTCGTCATTTTCTACTACTCTTTCTTTTCAAAGATTGTCCTCTTTGACTGTGACCTGTCACTCATTACTTTCATTTACCTACTACTCTTACTTTTCAAAGATTGTCCTCTTTGACTATGACCTGTCCCTCACTATTTTCATTTACCATGTTGTAGTCTTTATAAGGGTCCTCTATTATATGCATAGTAAAGGTAATCCAATTATCATTTCCTTCTTTTTTTTCCTAATAAGCCAATACGTTTTCTAGAGCAATCGTGTGTGTCATTACCGTTCAATCTCCCATTGCCCAGTGTCTATTATTTTTTAGGATTAGGATCCATTCTGGAGGGATGTTGACCATTATTTGTTGTAGGTTGTTCGCTAGACGATGACAACCCTTGAGCGTGCTTCTTAGTTGTTTCTCATCCTTTCACTCTTTCCTGTCATCATCTCATATATGTTTCACCTACAACTCTCAATCTTGTGTCTTTTGTGGTTAGCGTAAATGGTTTTTCCTCGTCCTCCGCCATCCACAAATTACAGAATAGAAGTTGTCTACGAATCTCCTTTTTGTTTTGTGACTTTCTTACCTTCGCAGGGAGGATTTCTCACCTTGCTCTGATGATATTCCACCAAAAGTTTAGTCTTGCTTCACCTTTGGTATGCCGGGTGTTCGGTGGTCCGCCTTTCATTAACCACGATTTACTCATTAACCAAAAGAAGCCCTCCATATTAGATAGTGTGCTGTAAACGGAAAGTTGGTGGATCTCCTCTAAAGCCAGCGTTGTCCATGGAAGGCTGAGTGTGGTTAGCAATTTTAAGATCCATTTCATTGCCGGGTCTAAAACTCCCAGACCTCCTTGACTTTTCCTCCTTGCGACATATTGCTATGCCACCTTACTTATGAAGTCCTGCCTAGAAGATTCCCTTGTCCATAGGTCGTCTATGACCTTTCTTTTAAAATCTTCCATAGCCTTGTGGTCGGGGGTTCAGAAGGCTCCGACATACTACATCATTGAGAAGATAGATGAGTTTAGAATCAGGCTTGTCCGAATAGCAAGGTGTGTACCTTTACCCATGCATTGAGTTTTGTAATCATTTTGGCCGGTAGGCTAGGGGTTATCTCTGCTGTTACTCCTAGCTCGTTAAGTTGGATTCCAAACACTCTCATTGGGACGTTGGGATTAAACCATATCATTCCTTCTTATGGCTTTTGGGGGGGGGTGTTGTTGTCGTTGGCTAGCCACCAACCTACACTTTTTTGCCAGTTTATCCGCATTTATGAGACCAACTGATAGGCATTTATTGCTTTTGTGAGGGCTTCGAAAAAGAAATTAGTAGCTCTAATTAAAACTGTTAGGCCATCAACGAAATGGATGGTGGGGGGTATGATGTAGTTGCGGGTATTATCCTTTGTTGCCAATGTGATACTTCCCATGGAGGGATCTATTCTAGGAAAGGAGGCTATGATCTTTATAATGAAGAGAGAGATCGACGCTGTAAGGGGATCCCCTTGCCTCACCGATCTTGACATCTTGTAAGTATTTGATATGTGACTGTTTACTTGTACTGCTCCGTATGCGTCACTGTATAAATGTTTTACACACTTTTGAAACATGGGGCCCACCCCCATTTTCTCCATGCATTATTGTAAGAAATCCCAACTAACCTGATTGTATTAGTTTTTTTTAAAATTAAAGAAAATAATGGTTGCGTTGATTTTCTTATCATTGATACATCTTACTGATTTCGCTAGTATTATGACGTTGTCTAGTATGAATTTGCCTGGGATGAAGCCCGTTTGGTCTATGTGAAAACATAATTTGGTGATATTCCTTATTCTATTTGCTAGGAGTTTAACTAGGATTTTGTATGCTACCATCAGGAGTGTCATTGGTCTATAGTTCTTGACGTAAGTTAGGTCTCCTTTCTTGTATAGTAGCCTGACTATTCCTGTACTTAGGCAAGGACCTAGTCCTTCGTTTTCCCATACCGTTTTCATAAACTTGCAAGGTTCCTCCCCAAGCAGTGGTCAGTGGGTTTACTTGAATTCTTTGGATAGATCATCAAACTCTTGAGTTTTTCCTGGTTTCATTGAATTCAAAACTCTTTTAATTTATCTGTTGGTTATGGGTTTATCCAGTTGGTTGGCCAGGTTGAAAGAGGTTGTTTGTCGAAATATTTGATGAATTTCTCTCTTGCCTGGAGGATTGACTTCGGTGTTAGTTGCTTGGTTTTAGAAGTATAGAGGTTTTAATAAAAGGATTTTGCTATAAATATCATTTCCGTCCGGTTTGACATAAGTACTTCCTCTCCTCTTAATTGATGAATGACTGTGTTTCTTCCCCTTGCTTTAATCTTCTGAAAAAAGAACAGTCATGTTTTTATCTTCTACCCATTCTTTGATCCGAGCTCGCATGTGTATATATTTCGGCTTCCAAGTGCTCCAATTGGCTAATTCTGCTTTGGATCTTGTTAGGAGTTCCTCGTAGGTTGTTTTTCCTGGGTTATTTATGAGGTTTCTTTATGCCAGATTGGCTGTTGCTTTCAATTCCTTTATCCTTTGGTCCCTTTTGACTGTTATTTTTCTAGAGGTTGAAGAGGTTGCTTAGGATAGGTTGAGAAGTCTTCTCCTTCCCTCAAGCATATCCTATTGCTTCCTTCATTTCTTAAGTATGCAGTACTAAATTGTTGATTTTGAAGAAGCTTGTGCCTTTTTGTAGCCCCGGGCCAAATAGAAGGTTTAGAAAGATTGGATTGTGGTCAAAACCGTTGTCGAGCGCACGGTCCCTGCTGGGGGAACCTTTCCCGGCCGCTTCACGCAGGATTGGCAGAATTCGCATGTCGCTTCACGAAAAAGGAAGCGGCAGAGCCGCTCTGGACGAGTGCGCCAGCTATACCTCCATCGAGCCCCTACGACAAGATAGGGTCTCGCAAGGTACAACTTACCTCCACCCGCGGGAGCTGTCACCATCCCTTGGGTGGGCGTATCCCCGCCGAGCTACTCTAACCGCAATCCCAACTTCACCAATCAAGTCGCCTGAAGATACAAACACAGCCACACTTAGAAAAGGGAGTGACAAACGTGAAGGCCAAGGAGAACGATACACGACAGTGGAGGTGGGCTATTTCGACGAGATAGAACGACCGCAATGGTAGGGAATGACGATGCAACCACGACCAATGAGGGATACACCTTCAGACGAGTCTGGTTGCGATGTGATGGCGGAGACAACCTCAGTAGAGAAACCGCTATGACTCGGACCCCACGACGCCAGAACTCTATTACCAGATGGAAGCGGCCATGATCTCTGTTCGCCTCTTCTACCCACCAATCATACCAAATGAGTATGAATTTTTCGGTAGAATAGAGAAAGATACATTGTCATAATCTAAATCCTCCGGAAGTAATCCCGCAGCCCTGATCCCTATGGTGCCAAAACCATGACCTTAACGTAGAATCTGCCACCGCCATTCAACTCGCAACATGCCAGAACCCCCATTTTGCATCTTTACTCGTTCGTTTCCGTTGAGGGACGGACAAGTTACACTGTTTTTCCCTTTCGTCATCCCTCTCTCCTCTTCTCTCGGTTCCTTCGCGCACCTCGTTTTCTCATAACTCCACTTCTGCTAACTTTTCACTCGATCTGACTGCAGATTCAGGGTCGCCCTACCCCAAAATCTCAGTTTCAATTCTTCCCTTGCCCAGTTTCGTTATGAAACGGGCAGGATGTGAGTTTTCTCACTACTCCATGCCCATTCTCTTTCTCACCTTCGTCTTTCCGACGTCTTCTTCCTCTCCGCTCTGCAGCTAGTCCTGCGAGTCCGGTCAGTAGCCTTCCTTGAAGATTCAGAGGGAGAAGGAAAGAAGAGAGAGAAAGAGAAAAACAAAAACAAAAACCAGGCAGGGCCGATCAGCCTCTCCCAACTTATGCGTGTTGCCCTTGTGTCGAGGCCACATTGATTTTCATTGTTTCGTTTCAATTTTAACGGATGTCCCGAGGGACAAATCGCAGTCCCACCGCGGGACTCTGCAGACCGGCCCACGAGGCCCTGGTCTGGTGATCTGTTTACACCTGGATTCGAACTCGAGTCCGCATTTCAAAATTTTAGTATGTTATTTATCTGCTTTCAGTGGAGTCCGACCTTGGGTTTGTGTCTCATAGTTCATGGGTGTACCAGTTGAGCTATGTGTGTAGGTGCTGGTCCCAAAGGACTGTTTTTCAACAGTCCGCGGGTGTACCGACTGAGCTAGGCTTAGTGGCTGATCCCACACGACTATTTTTCATCAGTCGGTGGGTGTACCAGCTGGGCTAGGTGTGTAGGTGCTGGTCCCACATGAATGTTTTTCAACAGTCCGCGGGTGTACCAACTGAGCTAGGCTTAGTGGCTGATCCCACAAGACTTTTTTTCAACAATCTGCGGGTGTACCATCCGAGCTACCGCAGGTACAGATCCCACAGGACTGTTTTTCAAGAGTCCGCGGGTGTACCAACGGGGCTAGGTCTGCAACTGCTGTTCCCACAGCCCTATTCACACTCAAATTTCTCACAGCAGATTGCGGCCGGCGGATGATGCATCAACAGAGGGATTCTGCCACTCAGGGTTCCTCCGCCTCGTGAGTTAAGCACCCTCCGGCTCGCATGCATTTGAACACCTCGGTTCGCCTGTCAAAAACGGGCGGGATAGAGGGATCCCGTCAATGCTCCGAACAAGCCCCAAGCCTGTCAAGAGCGGCACACGCTCAGGTCCTCGGCCGTCGTGGTGGGCACCCGTGGAGGTCTCCACTGCTCCCCACTATAATGCTGCCCTCAGCAGCCCATGCTGACACTCACCCTTTCATTCAAGGTCAACGAAGGCTGCGACAGAGTCGCCGTCCGCCCTTGTTCAGGTGCGGTTGCGCAACTTGCCTCCATCCGCTTCTTGCTCAATAAATTTATGGCATTCTTTAATTTTTTTTTTGAAGTTCTTTTCGCCTTTCTTCGTGGTTCTTCTTCACCGTCGGTCCTGGAGCCATGGAGAAAAAAAAATAAAAAATAAATATAAATCAACAAAAATAAAGATAGTAGAATTGAAGAGGACGAGGACCTGCCGACGCCCCCTTGGTCTTGCCAGTCGAACCAAGGCTTGGGCCCGTCCGACAAAACCAAGGGGTATAGTCCCTTAAGACTCTCAACCCCTCAGTCTCCGCCTGTCGCGCTTCTTTGCTTCATCGCCGCTTGCTGACCTTGAACCCCAAACCCTGTCGCTTGAAAGTCCAGTACCGTAACCATTAGAACTAGGATGAAGGCTGAGCTGGGTAGGCGTGAGCCTGCGTATGTATAGTCGCGGGATCGTGATTGGTCCTCCCCACACAAACCGGGTCTCCGCCTTGGCCTATCGGCTAACCTCCTACCCGTTAGAGGACGCCACCTGCGCCTAGGATTGTAACTACTGGTATTCTAGTCGTCGGGCGCTCGACATATTTTGCCGAACTCCCGTCTTTTTCCCATACTAGGTTTGCCAACGCCGCGCCTTTCCGTGTGTCGCCAAACACCGTCTTCTCGTGTGTGCACAAGATAGGGTCTTTATCCTTTTCGCGTCGTGTCCCGCCAGAGGCCGAACTAGTTGCGAAGTAAAGCTGACCTTTATAAAATAAAAGAAAAAATATAATTAATAATACAAACTATAAAAGGGAGAGTAACC